TAATTCTGTTGACCATATTTGTGATATTCAGGGGCCAAATATCGTATTGGAGCATGTTGGAGATAAAAAACAAAATGTGCCCAAAACGTGATATTATGACGTTATACGCCGTTCTGAGCCATGTTGGAACTTTCTATCACTTTTGGTTCCGTTAATTCTGTCGACCATATATGTGATATTCAGGCGCCAAATGTCATATTGGAGCATGTTGGAGATAAAAAACAAAATGAGCTCAAAACGTGATATTATGACGTTATATGCCGTTTTGAGCCATGTTTGAACTTTCTATCACTTTTGGTTCCGATAATTCTGTCGACCATATATGTGATATTCAGATGACGAATGTCATATTTTAACATGTTGGGGATAAAAAACAAAATGTGCCCAAAACGTGATATTATGACGTTATACGCCGTATTGAGCCATGTTTGAACTTTTTATCACTTTTGGTTTCGATAATTCTGTCGACCATATATGTGATATTCAGGTGACAAATGTCATATTGGAGCACGTTGGAGATAAAAAACAAAATGTGCCCAAGACGTGATATTATGACGTTATACGCCGTTTTGAGCCATGTTTGAACTTTCTCTCACTTTTGGTTCCCATAATTCTGTCGACCATATATGTGATATTCAGGTGGCAATTGTCATATTGGAGCATGTTGGAGATAAAGAACAAAATGTGCCCAAGACGTGATATTATGACGTTATACGCCATTTTGAGCCATGTTTGAACTTTCCATCACTTTTGGTTCCGATAATTCTGTCGACCATATATGTGATATTCAGATGACGAATGTCATATTTTAGCATGTTGGGGATAAAAAACAAAATGTGCCCAAAACGTGATATTATGACGTTATACGCCGTATTGAGCCATGTTTGAACTTTTTATCACTTTTTGTTCCGTTCATTCTGTCGACCATATATGTGATATTCAGGCGCCAAATGTCATATTGGAGCATGTTGGAGATAAAAAACAAAATGTGCCCAAAACGTGATTTATGACGTTATACGCCGTTCTGAGCTATGTTTGAACTTTCTATCACTTTTGGTTCCGATAATTCTGTCGACCATATATGTGATATTCAGGTANAAACATTAACAGTTCATTGAGAAGCGTCGAAGGATAAACATAGTAATTGTTTTCATCTAGGTAAACAGGTTACATATAAAGATACATTTTTAATAACATAACCTAAATAAAGGTACATTTTTAATAAAGATAAATTTTTAATAATTTCGTCAAAATAACATGACCTTCTCAAGTTAATTGACCTCCTCCTCTCTTCATCGAACCTCCTCTGACCCCCAAAAAATTTACCGATTCAAGAACCTCCTCCTAGAACGCAGGTTCGAGGAGGAGGTTCATGAATCAGCGAATCTATACTACTTTGGAGCATGTTGGAGATAAAAAACAAAATGTGCCCAAAACGTTATATTATGACGTTATACGTCGTTCTGAGCCATGTTTGAACTTTCTATCACTTTTGGTTCCGATAATTCTGTTGACCATATTTGTGATGTTCAGGCGCCAAATGATATGTTGGAGCATGTTGGATATAAAAAACAAAATGCGCCCAAAACGTGATATTATGACGTTATACGCCGTTCTGAGACATATGTTTGAACTTTCTATCACTTTTGGTTCCGATAATTCTGCTGACCATATATGTGATATTCAGGGGCCAAATGACATATTGGAGCATGTTGGAGATAAAAAACAAAATGCGCCCAAAACGTGATATTATGACGTTATACGCCGTTCTGAGCCATGTTATTATGACGTTATACGCCGTTCTGAGCCATGTTTGAACTTTCTTTCTATCACTTTTGGTTCCGATAATTCTGTTGGCCATTTTTGTGATATTCAGGCGCCAAATGACATCTTGGAGCATGTTGGAGATAAAAATCCAAATGTGCCCAAAACGTGATATTATGGCGCTATACGCCGTTCTGAGCCATGTTTGAACTTTCTATCACTTTTGGTTCCGATAATTCTGTTCACCATATTTGTGATATTCAGGGGCCAAATGACATATTGGAGCATGTTTTAGATAAAAAACAAAATGTGCCCAAAACGTTATATTATGACGTTATAGGTCGTTCCTTTCTATCACTTTTGGTTCCGATAATTCTGTTGACCATATTTGTGATAGGGCCAAATGACATCTTGGAGCATGTTGGAGATAAAAATCCAAATGTGCCCAAAACGTGATATTATGACGTTATACGCCGTTTTGAGCCATGTTTGAACTTTCTATCACTTTTGCTTCCGATAATTCTGCTGACCATATTTGTGATATTCAGGCGTCAAATGACATCTTGAGCCATGTTGGAGATAAAAAACAAAATGTGCCCAAAACGTGATATTATGACGTTATACGCCGTTCTGAGCCATGTTTGAACTTGAGCATGTTGGAGATAAAAAACAAAATGTGCCCAAAACGTGATATTATGACGTTATACGCCGTTTTGAGCCATGTTTGAACTTTCTATCACTTTTGGTTCCGGTAATTCTGTTGACCATATTTGTGATATTCAGGCGCCAAATGACATATTGGAGCATGTTGGAGATAAAAAACAAAATGCGCCCAAAACGTGATATTATGACGTTATACGCCGTTCTGAGACATGTTTGAACTTTCTATCACTTTTGGTTCCGATAATTCTGTTGACCATATTTGTGATATTCAGACGCCAAATGACATCTTTGAGCATGTTGGAGATAAAAAACAAAATGTGCCCAAAACGGGATATTATGACGTTATACGCCGTTCTGAGACATGTTTGAACTTTCTATCACTTTTGGTTCCGATAATTCTGTTGACCATATTTGTGATATTAGTAGGGGAATAATGAGAGTTCTGCAGCGGAAGTATTCCTTCATTCCTTCGTGACGTCACACGCGCATGTGTTGTTGGTTTCCTACCTCGTGCGACGCCACCTAGCGGTGGGTGGTGAAACTAAAAGGGTGTGGTTGCCCTGATAACCTATAGATGGCGGTCGCGGCGCCCTCTAATTGCCAATCCTGCGGTGACGTCACGTTTCAATGTATTAAGTATAGGGAGGGGTATGAACCAAAGTTTGGGGGAAAAAAATTAGGTTGGTATTAAAAGTAACTAGATCTAGAGATTTTTAGAAAAGTAAATAGAAAAATTTAAATACAATGGCGCCACCTAGATTTGAGTGTGGTGGATAAATAAAACACAAATTTAATAAATAAAAATTAATATATTTATTTTAAAACACATTTTCTTTTCTTCAAATTTGTTTTAACATCTACCCTAATATATTTAAACATATTAAAGACACTGAACCTCTGATGATCGAAGATGCATCTTTCATCGCTGTGGTTGTTGTAGGTTGAAGGTTTCAGCTAAAGGTGATGCAGTAACTTCTACGGTTGTTTCTTCTTCTTCTTCCTCGCTATCGCACATTGTTGTCGTAATAAAAAGAAAGAAGAGGAAGACCGTTGTACTCGAAATTGCACTAAATATTTTCTTTTATATCGTGATTTACGAACTAGACGAATCAACAGCGATTAAAAACGTACTGAATCGGGTCTTTCGAGTGCGGCGGTTGTTGACGCGTTAACGAATCGCAGGAAATATGCGGTAGGAAATGTGCGAAGATTAGATAAGAGGAAACTCGCTCGCAGATGATGAATAAGAATAATACATTTAATAAAAAAAAATAATATATTTAATGAATAAAATAAATTTACCTGACGGACTGTTATATTTTTAAAATTTAAATTTGCTGAGCGCTTAAAGGCCTGCCTCTCGTCGCTTGAATGCGCGTGCGCAGGAAATTAGGAATATTTCTAATAAAACTTCAGCCAACTTAAATACGACTAACTTTATTTTATTTACATAAAAATCCAGTTCATCTGCTTTATTAAAACCTAATGTTATTGTCATAGAGTTATTTACAAACTGATCTATATTTGATTAATCATACCAGCTAAAGGAACATATTTGAAAACTCTATCATGTAAGATTAAACAGTAGAGCGAAGTAGCATTAAGTATCTCTTCACTCTTTTCAAATCCAATGCGAATATCTACGGTTCCAACATTTAAAATATCATTTTGCCGTGAACAATCAATTACAATAATCGGTGTATGTGCTAAAAATGTATCTCTGTTAAACATTGGTTCTGCAAGTTCTCGATCGTAATAGGTCTTTGCGAAATTACAATACATTTCATATAAAACTGCAATTTGACCTGTCTTAAAATTTAAATTTAAAGCTTCATAGGGATATTTCTCACTATTTAAAAACACTTTCATATCTGTTAAATTACAGTGGTCAAATTGTGATGCAGAACGTAACGGATTATCTTTTCTATTGATTTGAAACCCTAATATAAAGTATCTGGGCTTTTCTAATTGAGTAGATGTTTTAATTGTCCATGTGTGTTGTCTATTTTTTGGTAATGATGGGTATTCATGTAAATCAAATGATCTAAATCCCATGTCTAATTCAATTCCTTGTTCAATGTACTCTAAAAGTTTTAAACGTTCAACATCGGCTACAGAAACATGAGGAACTTTCCATACTATTTTATTAATAGTAATTATCACATTAGGTAAAAGACTTTCGATAACATTCTTGTCTGAATTACTGCGTACTAAAACTAATTCTTGACGGAGATTTATCAAAATTTTATTATAATCTTCTGCGAAACCAAGAAAATATTTCAAGGGAACACAAAAATCAAAATCTCCTGTATTTTCATTTACTTTAACATTTGGATATTCGAAACCTGCGTTAGAGGCATGATAGTATTCCGATCTTGTTAATGAGCAAAGATTTTTTAATGTGCTAGCTATTCCTGGATTTCTTACTCTGTCAATTACGTTCCCTCCACATTCAAATCGTACTTCACTAAACATATGAGCGATCGGATTTGCTGACAATTTTGAATCTTTATCAACGGTTCCGTCATCTTTCAATAGTTTCCCTTGTACGTAAATAAAAGATTGACTTGGTAACGTGTAAACGTCCTGTTGTTGAATTGCAATACGAATTTCATCGCTATTGTTAAAAGAATTTGATGAGTATGGTAAATGATTATGATACTGAATCCGTACGAGTGAATTATCAAATTCTACTTTATCCGAGACGTTTAAGATACTCATATTGAATATTATTTTATTAATTGTAAACCTAATGATTCAAGAAATTGTTTGTTTTGAGGTGTTAACTGTTTCACAGTGTGAGGAGAACTAAAAGTATTGGTTTGATTTCGTGGGTTTATATAACCTTTCACCTTAAGAACCATTATTACTAGAGAGCTTTAAATGTAGTCTTATCTTGATGACTTCTCCTCTGAAATTGACCAACACTCCGTTTTGATCAACTATTTTAAGGGTAATATTATTAATTATTTGTGTATTCAAAGGCATATATATTAAATTGTGGGGAGTTTCTGATATTTTATAACCTTTAGGTACTGTAGGGAAAAATGAGTAGATAGTGTGCGCAGGTATGTCGTTGTGATAAGCTCCATGTGTTATGCTACATAGTCCTTGTATAGAATTTACTTTAAATATATCTACAATATTGCGAGCTCTATGCGGGGATTTTATTGGATCCAGTACATCTGATTTATTAAATCCTAATATTGTTGAGATGGAGTTGTTTATATTAAAATCAATAGTTTTGTTACATGTGATCACTGCTTGTAGCGTATCCTCATTTGCTTGTAGGCTAAAGGTCACACCATTAATATTCTTTTCTTTAAGTTGTTTATTAATAGCATTCGATATGTGTATTAATTCATAAGATCCTGTTGGTAGTGCTATCAACACATTATCTATTTTTAAGCAATTGTTTGTTTCATCAATATTTGGAATTGAGTTGTAACCATCAAAGCTTACAAGTGCCAGTTCATATTGATAATTAGGATTCAGTTCTATTGCAGGGTGGTAATTTGCTGTTAGAACAGATGTTTTTCCTACTAAATCAAACGTCCACATCCTTTGATTGTTGAAACTATAATGCGCCCGATAACAAGAAATTTAAACATAAATAACCACAATTACTTGTGTTATAGGTTTGATATTGATGGTGATTATATTTAATAATTACATTATTTCCAGCACTCTTGAAATAGTGTTACCAGACGCGTAGAAAGGATAACACCAACAAGTGGCTGTAATCCGAAACCAGAAGAAGAGATAAACGTAAAAAAGTATAAAAGCACGTACAAATCTATTGTTTATTCAGTTATTAATCAACTTCTTAATAACCCACATCTTAATTCGTTAAAATTGTAATTCGTAGTTACTTTAATTTTCTGTGTGATTGTTTTTTTTTAAAATAAAACTCTTTTTAAAAAACAAACCAACGCGGTCGGTTATTGTAATTGGCGACGAGGATGGGATTACTCTAAGTGTACAGAACTTTCTTGAATAAAAAACGTCGCGCTAGTGCTGGTGGATTTTAATCCTTTGACAACTTGGACCCAAACCAACGAGAAGATTGCTTCAGCCGAGGGACGTAGCTGAAATCGCCACAACCCCTGGATCAATCGGAAAAGAAGAAAAAGAAACAAAGAAAACCCAAACCAACGAGAAGATTGCTTCAGCCGAGGGACGTAGCTTAAATCGCCACAACCCCTGGATCAATCGGAAAAGAAGAAAAGAAACAAAGAAAAACCCAAACCGAATGAAAATTATTTTACTATCACTGTAAGTACCTTTTTCATTATTTTCGGATCCTTTCTTATTCCCACGGGAACCAAACATAAACACCCACATACAAAGGATCTTATTACACGTAATTGACACCTAAACGTACTTGGATTACCAACCAAAATTGAGAAGATAAAATTCAACGACTTATTCGAGGCTATCACAGAAATAGAGAAAGCCACAGACATGAATAGAGAAAGACAGTTAGAGATAAAACCTGTCGATCAAAATCTTATTCCAGTATTTACGGGAGATCGTATGACTCTACGCAGTTATGTGAATGCTTGTGAATATTTGATCGAGGAATTTTTGACTCCTGACCCGAATGATCAGAGAATGTCACGGAGATTGTTGATGATCTTCATGGGAAAACTCGAAGGAAAGGCACGTGAAGCAGTGGATGCCAACCGTACACCAACATCATGGCCGGAATTAAAGGCGATACTGGTCCACAGCTTTGGCGATAAGAGATCGGAGGATGTTTTGGCTTATGACTTGAACAATATTCGACCATTAAAGAACGAGTCATCGCTCGAATATGCTAACAAAATTAAAGCTACTCTGTATACCTTGCTATCGAAGATTAATTTGGGGGAAAACGACATAAATATCCGTCATATGAAAATAAGTCAATATAATTCTTTAGCTCTCCGTACATTTTTGTTCGGATTAGACCTGATCAATGACAGACTTGGTTTAGAAGTTAAGATGCGACAACCCAATGACATCGAAACAGCTGAGGGGTACACATCCGAGATAGAAAATTATAATTTACAGAAGAAACGTTACCTGGACGTTCATAAACCTTTGACTCTACCAACGACGAGACCAATGCCCTCGTATGCATGGCATCATGCACCGACACAAACAAGGCCGTTAGCACCTTTCCAGAGACAACAAATCTCTATGGTACCACAACAACGGAGTAATTTTATACCACCTGCTCATACCGTACCAAGAGCACCACCGAGATTCGCTTCATCTCCTGGACAAATGATGCAACAGAGACCATACCGACCAGTACCGATGGACGTCGATACTTCGGCTCAAAAACGACAAGCATCAACAATACAAAGGCCTGCAAAGAGACCCTGGCCAAATAATATGATGATTGAAGAACAAACTCCAACTCATCCTATAGAAGAAAATGAAGAAGCAGGATATCTTGAGATGCCAGAAGGATATTTCAGTTATGGAATGAACTCCGAAGAAAGAAGCAATGAGGAACAATATCAAGAAGACAATGACAAAGAAGAGACAGAAGCTGTAAATTTTATAATGGTCAGCCCTGTCAACGATTTGACATAACAGGTACAATAACTTACAACACAGCTACTTTAGATCCTAAACTCCCCTATCTAAAATTTGGTTGATATAAAATCCTCATCGATACAGGAGCATCAAAAAGCCTTGTTAATGAAAAGATTTATAATTCGATGGAAGAAGATTATGCTGTGCATGACGAATTTCGTATACAAACACCACACGGGATAGAAGAAGGATCAAGAGCTCTTAAAGTACCATTATCCGATATTTTTCATGATAACCAAGAATACGTTTTCTATTGTTTCAACTTCTCGAACGTTTATGACATGCTAATTGGAATGGATGTAATCAAAGCGTTAAAAGGAACAATTGATACGGAAAGGGAAATCCTAAAAACTCCAAAAACAGAAATTCCGTATTACACGACCATCAACGAAGTAAAACTTTTTCCACAATCTTCGCAAATCGTAGAATACCAAGTTAATAACATGATAGAGGGTTACGCCTATTTTCCCAAAACGAAATTGAAATTGGGGACAGAAGAAATAACTTTATCACCTTCAGCATTAGTTAGGGTACAAAATGGCAAAACCTTAATTCGTGTAAATAATATGACAGATCAACTTTTGGTGACTGATAAAAAAAACCATTACGTGAACGTACAACCAATATGGGAATTTGAAGAAAATTACAACGTTGGATATAAACAAAAGCATTCGAAAGAAATAATTAAAAAGGAAGAAATAGAAAAATTATTGTCAAAACAAAATTGTTAAACATCGAAGAAGAAGCATCACTAAAAGCATTATTAATGAAATTTAGAGATCTCTTTCACGTGGAATGTGACAAACTAACTTTTACGCACAAAATAAAACACACCTTGAACATGAAAGATGATAAACCAGTATTTGTGAAAATGTACCGTCAACCAATGGATATGCGACAAGAAATAAAAAAACAAGTATCGGAACTTCTTACACAAGACATTATACAGGAAAGTGTATCCCCATGGTCAGCTCCAGTTCATATAGTAACTACCGAAAAGGATGGAAGGATAAAAAAGCGAATGGTAGTCGACTATAGGAAACTCAACGAGCAAATGATTGAGGACAAATATCCCATACCAAATATTGCGGATATCCTTGACAAATTGGGACGCAGTCAGTTTTTCACCTCTTTGGACCTAGCCAGTAGATATCATCAGGTAGAAATGGCAGAAGCCGATGCACCGAAAACAGCATTTTCAACCGAACAGGGTCATTACGAATTTAAGCGCATGCCCTTCGGACTAAGAAATGCGCCTGCAACTTTCCAACGTTTGATGGATAATGTACTCAAAGGATTGCAGGAAGATACCTGTCTAGTATACTTAGACGATATCATAGTATACTCAAAATTAACAAAAGTGTTTACACGATTGTGAGAAGCAAATTTTAAAATCCGACTAGACAAATGCAGTTTCTTTAAAAAAGAACTCAAATATCTGGGACACGTCATTACCAATAGTGGAGTAAAACCTAACCCAGAAAAAATCGACGCAATTAAAAGATACCCAATACCGAAGACCAGGAAGGAAATTAAATCATTCCTAAGACTACTGGGGTACTACAGAAAATTCATAAAAGATTTTGCCGGAGTGACTAAACCATTCTCCAAGTGTCTGAAGAAAAATGCTAAAATTGAATTAACTGAAGAGTATCAAAAGGCATTTGACAATTGCAGAGAACTATTGATGAATGATCCGATTCTGCAATATCCGGACTTCGAAAGAGAATTTATGATCACCACGGACGCGTCTGACATTGCAGTAGGTGCAGTATTATCCCAAGGACCTGTAGGTACAGATAAACCAGTATGTTATGCATCTCGTACACTCTCAGGAACTGAACAAAGATACTCAACGATTGAGCAGGAACTGTTAGCAGTTGTCTATGCAATTAAGCAGTTTCGTCCCTACGTGTATGGAAGGAAATTTGTTCTGTTCACGGATCATAAACCACTTGTATGGCTCTGATCGCTTAAGGAGCCTAACTCCAGGCTTAAGCGATGGAGAATCAAGTTAGAAGAGTATAATTTCGAGATTGTGTACAAAAAGGGAAAACTGAATTGTAACGCTGATGCTCTCTCCAGAATTAAATACGATGACCTCACCTGTTATGTGCAGTAACATTCAATACAATTTTTTATGGGACAGGGCTGATTCCCTTACCGACCATTGATTAACCACGCTGTTAATTGTTCTTTTCTTCACTAGCTAGACTTTTGATTAATCGGTACAGCCTTTCTTCAAGTCGCACACTTTGTTTTCACTCGTTTCGGTTTTAAATACGGTTCTCATCTATCTTCACGACACACGATATCTTAAAATTCTCGTTCGAGGGTATGGTCTGGACCAAAGTTAAAATCACAATGTCACCAAAAATTTAGACCAACTTCCCAAAAAAAAAAGAACTGGTTCGCCCCCACCCTCAATCAATGGAACGAACCGAAACCAAATAATAACGAATAACGAAAATAAACAATAATAAGAAACTAATAATGTGATGCGTGAACATCCCGCCCACCGAAAATAATAATTTTCCAAAAAAAAATAGAACAAAAATGCTATTCCATAATACAAATACGAAAGGAAATTAAATTCTGAATCAAGGTAAATATTTTATACCTTAATTAATAGGTAACGGGCACACCTTGGTAATAGGTCGCATTAAGGTGCCCGTTGCCGTTCTAATCGTTACCACCCTGGTAACTCCATCCTGACCAGGGTGAACTTCGAGAATTTTACCCATTTTCCAGGAAAGGGAAGAATGTTGGTCTGACTTCAATAAAACCATTGTTCCTGGGTTTATCTGTACCGCTGGATCTGTCCACTTTTCTCGTTGTTGTAACGTGTGCAAATATTCTTGATGCCATCTGGACCAGAAATGGTCTCTCATCTTCTGGATCAATTGCCACCGCGTCAGTCGGCCGACAGGAACTTGAGCCAAATCCGGACTAGGTACATTGTTTATCAGAGGTTCCGAGATTAAAAAATGGCCAGGAGTTAACGGCAGAAGGTCATTTGGATCATCACTTATTGGGCACAAAGGACGTGAGTTGAGTACGGCTTCAATTTGAGTAAGGAGTGTGGATAATTCTTCGTAAGAGAGTATTTGGTTTCCAATGACTCTGTTTAAATGTGTTTTTATTGACTTCACCCCGGCCTCCGCCAAGCCGTTGAAATGAGGAGCGCTGGGTGGATTTAATATCCATTTAATCGATAATTGTTCTCCCGCTTGTCTGGATAGTTCTTCTAGTTGACGCCGTGCACCGACAAAGTTGGTTCCTTGATCGCTATAGATTACTGAGCAATGTCCGCGTCGGGAAACGAAACGACGAAATGCTGCGAGGAAAATATCGGATGATAAATCCGAAGCGACTTCCAAATGGATTGCTTTTGTGGCACAACAAACAAACACGCAAACATATGCCTTGGTGGTTTTAACTCCTCGAGCACGAGTCATTGATATGATAAAAGGCCCTGCATAATCGATACAAATGGCGTCAAAGGGTTTGCTTCTTGTTACTCTAACAGAAGGCAGATCACTCATCGGTTGAGTAATGGTTCGAGGTCGACATCTAAAACATTTCAAGCATTTAGAGAGGCAACGCCGGATACTTCTTCTTGATGACAAAATCCAGAATTGTTGTAGTAAAAGATATTGGAGCGTTTTCAAACCAGAATGAAGACTAATTTTGTGAGCATTCTCAATTATCAATTCCGTCAAGCGATGTTTACTCGGTAAAAGTAATGGATGACAAGTTTGAAAATCAAGTTGTGAACGACGAAGACGACCGCCCACCCTAATCAAGTGTTGATCGTCCAGAAATAACGACAGCTTTCGATAGGATTTTGGGATTAAACGGTTTGCTTTCAAACAACCAATCACTTGGGGAAAACTTTCCTCTTGCACCATTTTGATAAGTTTGAGTAATGACGCATGGCATTCATCAGGCGAAGGTATTATTTCATAGTGGCGAAGTTTCGACGAAAATCGAAGTAAATATGCAACGATACGTATAATTTTAGGTAACGACGAAAAGCGAGTTAAAAGGTAGGTAATAATGGATAAGTCCGTTGTAACCTGCAACGAAGCTCGGACTTCTTCCGGCGGTGTTTCGTTTGAGTTAGCTTGAAAAGAGGAATCGGGCCACGATTCTTCTGGCATCGTCAACCAATGAGGTCCATTCCAATATAAACAATCTGCAATGAGTTGTGCTGGTGTCAAACCTCGAGAAGTGCAGTCAGCAGGATTAGACTCAGATGAGATATGTCTCCAATGGGTTTTTGGAAGAACTTCCTGTATGTGAGCTACTCGGTTTGCTACAAAGGTTTTCCAACGAGTTGGAATTGACGAAAGCCAGCTCAGTACTATTTGGGAATCAGTCCAGGTTACAAGTGTATTGATAAATATCTGTTCTTTAAGAGCGTCAAGGACATAATCAATGCTATCCGCCAGCAACACGGCACCGCACAATTCCAGACGAGGTATAGAAAGCTGTTTTAAAGGTGCAACGCGCGATTTAGCATAGATCAAATGAGTGGTAATTTTATCCGAATTGCTTATTCTCAAGTAAATTACAGCTCCATAATCAACCAACAATCTGACCATAAAATCTAGGAATTTGAATTCTCCCAAGCATTTCAAACTCTGCAAGAAATTGAGTCCAAGAAGAATAGATAGCGTTGGGTAACGGATCATCCCAGTCCAATTTCAAGGTCCAAAGTTGTTGCATCCATTTTTTAGCGAGAAAAGTAATCGGGGTTAGGAATCCCAAAGGATCGTATATCCTGGCGATATTTGACATCATGCTTCTTTTGGTAGCAGTTTGATCCAAAGGTGCAAAGGCATAAGTAAAGCAGTGTGAAGCGGGATTCCATTGGAGACCCAATACCTTGATGTAAATTGGGGATTCTTTATCAAAATCTATAGTGGATTTTCTTTCAACTATTGAAATATTTTCTAATCATTCCGAATGACTGCTTGCCCATTTCCGCAACTCAAAACAACCTTGTTTCATTAACTGGATTAACTATCTTTGCAACGCCAATGCTTTTGAAAGGTTATTCGCAGCGGCAACAACATTATCGACATAGATATGGTTTTGTATTATTTTTGCTGCCGAAGGAAAACGAAAACCCTCACGAGTAACAAGTTCTTGTAAAGTGCGGAGAGCCAGAAATGGAGCAGAGGCAACTCCATAAGTAACTGTGTTGAGACTATATTCATCGATTGGTTCTGTTTCAGAAAATCTCCACAAAATTCTTTGGTAATCTCTTTGGTTCGGATCAATTAAAATTTGACGATACATCTGACGAATGTCGCAAATAAATCCAACAATAAAACATCTAAAGTTGAGCAAAATATTGGTGATATCCTTCTGCAACTTAAGTCCGATAAGCAGTATATCGTTCAACGAAATCTGATTTGACGTTGTTGTTGAAGCATCAAAAACGACTCTAAGACGAGTAGTTGTACTATCCGGGCGGATAATGCAATGATGGGGTATGTAATAAGCTTTAGAAGATTGGTAATCCTCTCTTGGTACCAGAGACATGTGTCCATTGTCGAGGTAATCACGCATAAATTCTGAATATTCGAAGCGAAGGTCTGGAAGTTTGATCAATCTATTTTCTAAGGTCATGAATCGACGCATCGCTTGTGTGTATGACAATCCTAAAATCGGTCTTTCTGTTTTGAATGGCAATGAAACCATGAAGCGCCCGTCAACGGTACGTTGAACCGTATGTTGAAATATCTCCTCACACTTGGCATCTTCTGACGATATCACTGTTTTCTTATTTATATTCTCCACTTCCCAGAATCGTTCCATAATTTGATCTAAGGAGGTATGTAATGACGTGCGAATAGAAAAGTTTGTAGTAGGGGAAGCTCTACCTTGGAGAACCGATCCAAAAACTGTTAATTGAGCAGTAGGTTCATCAATCGTTTTCCCGAAAACGCGATCAGTTTTCATTATATAGGGTAGTAATTCGGCTCCAATCAATATATCTATTGGTCCAGGAACACCACAACTGTCATCAGCCAATTGTAAACCTCGCAAGTGTTGCCACTTGGAAACGTCAAGGACCATTTGAGGCTGATTCGAACAGATCTTCGCCAGCACCATAGCGTCAAAATCAAATACAGGATCGACTAGCCCTCTGGGCTTAATATGACATTGGACAATGCCTTTGCTACACGTCGATGATAATCCACTAATTCCCTCAATCGGAATTGATGATCGTTGACGACTCAATCCTAATCTATAGGCACATGCATCAGTGATAAAGTTACTCATGCTTCCTGAATCCAATAAAACACGGACAGTCTGATGCACTCCGTTTGAATCTAATATATTTACTTTTGCTGTTGATAACAAGACGGTGGCTGACTTCAAAACAGAACTCGATAAAGATGCATTCGTATGATTTGGAGAATCGGTGGTCTTATTTCCCGCCATGATGGGGTTATTATTAGGTACTGCATTGGTAGACTCTTTTGGAAATCGATGTAATAAGGTATGATGACGTTTTTGGCATGTTTTGCACGACGATTAGGAAGGACAATTTGTCATCATATGTTTAGACGAAAAACAATTTAAACATAAATTATGGTTTTTGATTAATGCGAATCTTTGTTCTGGAGTTTTGGATGCAAATGTTTGACATTTGATTAATAAATGCGAATCTTTACAGGCGATACATCTGGGCAAACGAACCGACGAAGTACTATTATTATTCGTGGATAAGAAAGTCGATCGCTTTCGACACTTATTTGGGGTTGTTGTAATAGACGATGACAAAGTGGATGTAAATAAAATGGACTCCAAGGCTTTACAATGATTTTCCAAGAATGAAATTAATTGGCCATATGTTGGGAGTTCCGTGTCAGTATGTTTCAACTCGAATTCTGTCCGTGTTTTATTATCTAATTTATTTAATAGAAGATTAAACAGCAAGAAGTCCCAATGTTGTACCGGAAACTGTAGCATTTTTAATGCGGCTAGATTTTCGACAAAAATATTGGATAGAGTCCGAAGGTCGGCGGCATGTTTGGTTTCATTGGAACGCGATATCGCCGAGGCATTGTATATTAAATTGTAATGATGTGTGGCTAGAAGCCTTTTATTCTGGTATCTTTGTTTTAATGCGTCGTATGCGATGGTATAATAATCTGCAGTAACAGGCAAATGTTTTACAATCGCTAAGGGTTCATTAATCAACGATGTGATTAAATAATGGAACTTCTCAATTGACGAAAATTGTAACAAATCAAAAAACGATGACCAATTCTTGATATTACCATCGAAAACCGGAATCGAGATCTTTGATAGATTTAGGTTGAATTTTGCTGAACCTGCGTCGACAACGGGCGTTGACGGCACGCTTTGTTTCAACATATCATTCCATGTAGCTTTTACGGAAAAATATATTTGATCAGCTTGTAAACGAATTTTATCTTCTTCGTCGAATTCTGAATCATCTTCTAGAAGACCAATTACGGAATTATGCAATGTTCGAAATTGTTCATATACTTGAGAAAGGGTTTCAGTTTGTGCTTCCAGAAGTGATCTTAAATTTGGGTCTTTTTTTGCAGCAAGACTGACTTCTTCCGCCTCTTTTAGCCGGTTTAACTCAATTGTACGTTTCAATTTAATTTTTGTAATTTTACTCATAGCGGAGTGAGAATAATTTTAAGATGCAATATTTAGTTGAAATTCTAGGTGGACGAGAAAAAGAAAGGGAGACGATAAGTTGATCGGACGATCGAACGACGAGGATCCCACGATGTCTGCGGAGCTTGACCCGGACAGTGCGACGGACGACGCACAACTGGATGTGAAGAGTAGGATGCGCACGCACGAGCAATGACGTGCGCTTCGAAAGAACGATAGAAAGATAGAGAGACGAGCGACGACGTACCAAAAATGACGAAAAATGGCGAGTTTTTACAAATCTTGAAGAAACGTGGATCCACTATCGGACCCTCTCAACTATCCGGCTCGAAGGACCATATGTTATGTGCAGTAACATTCAATACAGTTTTTTATGGGACAGGGCTGATTCCCTTACCGACCATTGATTAACCACGCTGTTAATTGTTCTTTTCTTCACTAGCTAGACTTTTGATTAATCGGTACAGCCTTTCTTCAAGTCGCACACTTTGTTTTCACTCGTTTCGGTTTTAAATACGGTTCTCATCTATCTTCACGACACACGATATCTTAAAATTCTCGTTCGAGGGTATGGTCTGGACCAAAGTTAAAATCACAATGTCACCAAAAATTTAGACCAACTTCTCCAAAAAAAAAGAACTGGTTCGCCCCCACCCTCAATCAATGGAACGAACCGAAACCAAATAATAACGAATAACGAAAATAAACAATAATAAGAAACTAATAATGTGATGCGTGAACATCCCGCCCACCGAAAATAATAATTTTCCAAAAAAAAATAGAACAAAAATGCTATTCCATAATACAAATACGAAAGGAAATTAAATTCTGAATCAAGGTAAATATTTTATACCTTAATTAATAGGTAACGGGCACACCTTGGTAATAGGTCGCATTAAGGTGCCCGTTGCCGTTTTAATCGTTACCACCCTGGTAACTCCATCCTGACCAGGGTGAACTTCGAGAATTTTACCCATTTTCCAGGAAAGGGAAGAATGTTGGTCTGACTTCAATAAAACCATTGTTCCTGGGTTTATCTGTACCGCTGGATCTGTCCACTTTTCTCGTTGTTGTAACGTGTGCAAATATTCTTGATGCCATCTGGACCAGAAATGGTCTCTCATCTTCTGGATCAATTGCCACCGCGTCAGTCGGCCGACAGGAACTTGAGCCAAATCCGGACTAGGTACATTGTTTATCAGAGGTTCCGAGATTAAAAAATGGCCAGGAGTTAACGGCAGAAGGTCATTTGGATCATCACTTATTGGGCACAAAGGACGTGAGTTGAGTACGGCTTCAATTTGAGTAAGGAGTGTGGATAATTCTTCGTAAGAGAGTATTTGGTTTCCAATGACTCTGTTTAAATGTGTTTTTATTGACTTCACCCCGGCCNATGCGATGGAGAATCAAGTTAGAAGAGTATAATTTCGAGATTGTGTACAAAAAGGGAAAACTGAATTGTAACGCTGATGCTCTCTCCAGAATTAAATTAGAACAATTAAATACGATGACCTCACCCGAAAATGACGAGGAAGATGTCGACTCTTTAATGGCCCAATTGGACGATGAAGAATTGTTAACATTAGCAGATGAGCTTTCGATAAAATTAGTAGAAAAGACCGAACCAAAAAAGAAACGCCTAGGTATAGGAACGGCTAGAAAGGAGATCAGAATATCAGACCAACAACCAGATATGGAATCAGAATCTGATACCATACATTCTACTAATACTGTACAACCTAAAAGAACTATAGAAATTTTGGACACAATTATTGACAATAAAAGAAAACAATTTATTCTGAAAACAGGACTTAATAATGAACTAGAAGTACAAGTAAGAAAACAAGATGAGAGAACGATTCACGAAGTAAGGATACCTAAAAATAATCAAGACGAAGAAATATTCAGGCTATACAAAGAATACATGACGTCTTCAGGGACTTCATATATCTATACCGAAGAGGAAGAATTATATCATCGCTGTTGTCAAGTATATACAGAAAAACTAACAGACAATAGACCAAAAATAATACGCTGCGTGAGAAGAGTTAAAGTAATTACCAACACAGAAAGACAAATAGAATTAGTAACGGAATATCACGAAGGAATGAATAACCATCGAAGAATAGAAGAAACTTGTAAACACCTTCAGCGATATTATTGGTGGAAAGGAATGAAGAAAACGATAGAAAGAATAATCAAAAATTGCGACACTTGTAATAAATCGAAATATAACCGACACCCTGAAGTTACATTATTACCAATCACACAAACGCCTGATGCGCCATTCGAAAAATTATATGTGGATCTGTTTTCAGTGGGACAGGAAAAATATTTAACGATAATTGAATCATTCTCGAGACTCGGACAAGCCATCAAAGTATCAAGTAAAAATCCTACAGAAATTATCAACGCATTACTTACATATTTTTCATATTACGGAGTTCCAAACGAAATAATAAGTGACCAAGGAACGGAGTTTAACAACAAACTATTAAAGGAACTAGCCGAACTCCATAAAATCAAATTACACTTTGGAACAGCCAAAAACCCGGAATCCCAATCGAATATCGAAAGATTTCATTCAACTCTTATTGAGCATTTAAGATGCATGGAAGATACCGAAGGTAAACAGAAAGAACAACACATGAAGACAGCCCTGATAGCATACAACAACAGCATTTGTAAAGCCACTGGAATGACACCGATAGAAATACTATTTGGTCATACAAAAATAAGAAATCCCCTAGACTTATTCTACGATCAAATGACTTATCAAGATCAGATCAGTAAGCATAAAGAAAGGATGAAATTGCTCTATAATAAAATAAAAGCAAAAGATGAAGTAAGAAAAGAAAACACTCAAAGAAAACAAAGGGAGAAAACAAAAGAAACAGAGTGGGTAGTAGGAGAAAAGGTTTATGTGGAAAACGTCACTAAAAGCAGTAAACTCATGAAACCATTTTTCGGTCCTTACACTATCCTTAAAGTTAACGATAATAACACCGTAGAGGTGAGCACAAAAAGAGGTAATCAAACCTATCATCAACGACACCTGAAGCATGGATTTGTTCCAGATGCGCTGTCATCGGAGCAGTAGCAGAAGTCAAATTAATAGAAATAAAAGAACCACTTTTTCCATTATATCTGGGCACGGCCGAGAATAAAATCTCAACTTGGACAATAATCACCCAATATGACATAAAACCGTTACTCGAAGAAATCAATCATATGAACAATCGATGTGATGAACTACACGAAGTATTAAACAACAGCAAAGAGGCAAAGACTCATTATCAAGAGTTGGAAAATGCTTTGTCATCATTAGACACAAACCGACAATTGATGAACTCTAATAAAAACCAATTATTACCCAAAATAAGATCACGTAGAGGAGCGGCAAATTTCCTTGGAAGTATTATCAAGGCAATTTCCGGCAACTTGGATCAAGAGGACGCGGAAAGATACGATAAAGCTATAAAAGCTTTAGCGAAGAACCAAGAAAAGATTATCAAAATTCAAAAGGATCAAATTTCGCTTTCGACCAATGCTGTTAATGAATTTAAACGTAATATGGACCTTTTGCAAAGAAACCAAATTGTTCTGAAGTCACGACTTCTACAACTGGGAAAGGCACTACAAAATGTTAGCTTTTTCGCACTTGAAACCAACAAAAAGATGAATCTTTACGGCATTATATTCGCTTTAACGAACGGAATTACCACTATCAATACCATCATGGAAAAGGTAATAACAGCGAAAACATTCGCAAAATTACAAACTTA